TCTTATAGGAGCAGTAGCAGCAATATATGTCTCCAACGCCCTCTCTGGGCACAATAAATCAGGCCTATCGCCAGTCCCTCCTGACGTAGGCTGAAAACACGCCAATCTCAGTGGCTGGTTACAATGGGAATGCGAAAAAACTTTAGGGACAAATGCAGTGTTTGGCCACAAGGTAACACCAGAGCCATCTGGGGCCCATTTAAGACATGACAGGCTGGCAGAGAGAGCATGCAGCTCACCGACCCTTTTAGCTGAGACAATAGCTAATAAAAATGCTGTCTTACATGAGAGCCACTTGAGGTCAGCCTGAAGCAAAAGCTCAAAGMGAGGGTGGCGCAGGGCTTCGAGGACCAAGGGCATATCCCAAGCAGGTGCCCGCAGAACTGTTAGCGGGTGCAACCTGCAGGCGCCACGCAGAAAAAGAGAAACCAGGTTATGGCTTCCAACTGTACCACCATCAACGACAGCATGATTAGATGATATTGCCGCCACATATACCTTAAGTGTTGATGGAGAGCGGCCCTTATCYAGGAGAGATTGAAGAAAATCCAGGATAGTGGGCATCACACAGGAGACTGGATCCTCATCGCGGTCAGCACACCACTGAGAAAACAAACACCACCTGTTTTCATATTGCTGACGAGTAGAATGTGCCCTAGCACTTAAAATTGTGTACCTGACAGAGTCTGAATATCCAGTCAGCTGCTGCTCTAGCCTCCCAGTGGCCACACCCACAGCCTGAGGCGTTGAGGATTGGGGTGCAGACTCCGTAGAAGTGGGAACCATGGTCGTGCTGGCCAATACGGAACTATCAGCAGCACCCTGTGGCCCTCTTCAAGAACTCTCCGAAGAGTCAGCCAAATCAGAGAAAGGGGTGGAAAGGCATATAGAAGGASTCTTGGCCAGGGATGTGCCAAGGRGTCCTGGCCCAGTGCGCCTGATGCCCCCGTAAGGGAATACCACAGAGGGCAATGAGTCGACTCTTCTGTGGCAAACAGGTCTACTTCTGCCTTTAAATTTAAATTATTGGGTGATTGACAGGCTTCTGCAGAGGAGCAGGGAAACAACTAAAACATGCAGGATACTGCYTCATGAGGACCAGAATTTAGAACCACTGCAGTAAAGGGTGTTTTTCACTACCTGGAGCATCAGAGAATGTTTAATTGGGGAGATGTTTAAAATCATAAAGAAACTGTCATGTTGGAATAGAAATTTTGTTTTAGTTTATGTTTGTTGAAAGACATCAACACAGATACTTATGTGTTCATTTATCACAAGTTATATCGTCATTATCATCATCATCATCATCATCATCATCATCATCATCATCATCATCATCATCATCATCATCATCATCACAATAATAAGCAGTTATTGCACATCAGAGAGGTTTTCCTGATATTTTGCTGCCAAAAAGTTTTCTTCCACCTCAGGATGTAATCCTTTGTGATCAAAATATCTAAAACGTCTTCTACTTTATGCTCTTTCAACAGGTCAGAAACTGTCCCAGACACATGGGCTTGTGGAGGCATCATCTTTCAACAATAATGTATTTACCTGTGCAAATATTATTTTACACTTATGTCAAATAAAGCATATATTTAATAATCCTGTGAAGTTCATTGTGCTTATACAGTATATCTGATAAATCTTTAAAAACTTTTCTTTTTTACTAGACAAAGTTATTTTAGGTCCCTTCAGACATACTGGACACGTTTCAGTGTATTACCACAAGAGACATAAAATAACAGTGTCTATTAAAAAAGACAAGTTTTTAAGAGCATATTTTTAAGATGTTTTTGTTTTGCATGTCTAGCCCTGACCCAGTGATTTATCATGATTCCTAATGRAAGTTTGTGTTTTGTAATTGATCAAAYGATAATTRYGTAATGTTCAATGATAAAGTGATGCTTTAGTTCTAATAAGCAGTTACAAAAAACTAAAACCATTTAACACTTTATTGAAGAATATTTACCAAAATTATAATAGAAATATTAATTTAAATAGGAAAATGTTTTATACATGGCAAGACAGTATTAAAAATGTATAGCCTCAAGGGAATAAATCCACTGTACAGTCCATGAAGATGTTTAAAAACAGTCCTTGAAGTCCACACTCAGCAGCCTGCTCTGACCAGAAGTACAAAGGCACAAACTGCCTGTTGTCTTCAGCATCATCTGTAAGCTCAGCTACAGATCCTCCTGGCCAGAAACAAGACTCCTGCCTGCAGAATATATGGTTTGATGAGTGGAAGGTAGGGTTGAGATGCAGATGTCCTGCTGAGGTTCTCAGGAGCTGAACCCACGCTGCTGCGTCTCCCAGTGACCTGCGTGATTCTTCACCACAGCTTCTCTCATCAGCTGGTAGATGATGATTGTCAAAAACTAGCTGCATAGCATAAAGATAAAATGTCACACTGTGCAAAGCAAGAGCTGAAAAATACCAATACACAGGCTTGTCATGTTGCTGAAATCCTAAAATGGTTCTGAATTCCGGTCTTGGTGACCCACTATCCTGCATGTTTTAGATGTTTCCCTGCTCTTCAGCAGGTCTTTAAGTTCTGCAGAAACCTGTCAATCACTCATTCATTTAAATCATGTGTTCCAAAGCAGGGAAACAGCTAAAACATGCAGGATAGTGGGTCACAAGGACCGGAATTCAGAACCACTGCGCAGCTTCGGTGTTGTGTTAGCTTGATAGCTATTTATAACTTATAGAAAGAGTGCAACATAATTTACATGTAACGTTATGACAAAAGGATCACTTGTGTAGATAAAGTATGGGCAAGACATGATAGTTAAAAATAAATTGTTGATGGTTTGTTCTTACCTGTGACGGCAGCTTAGCTCTGAGCTCTGTGTGTTACYGTGTGGCTCACCTCCGGTTTACAAGTGTGCGCGCTCCCGACTCTGGGCCCTGCTGTGGGGGAGGAGCTTAGGAAGGGGAGCTGAGAGCAGGGGGAGGGACTAGAAGGTTGTATCAGTTCAAAGTTTTTCTAAGTTTTTGGGTTTTCAAGAAACTACATACAGCAGCTTTAAACTACAGTTTAATGCGACAGTTTTATGGTCTTTTAGCTAAAAGTTATGTAACAGCTTTTTTATGTTCTAAATTGAGAACTTTTATATTTACAGAGGCAGGTAAATGTGTTGGTCCCATTTTACAGTAATTAAACAAGTCATATGGCTGGACCAAGAGCTCCAGTTTTGTGTCACGACTCCCAGCAGCATGCATTTTTGTTAATTCCACTTTGGCACTTTTGCATTTTTTGCCAATTTTGGAGCCCTCTTTGATTTTATTTCATAAAGCCTCAAAATGCAATGGAAGGTGTGATTATTAAGTGACATACTTTGACTTTGGAGTTCAGCTTGAATAGTTTTTTTAGTCTTCTTAGCTTTTTTTGTACAACCATCCATCCTATCATGGGGGTTGCATTTCTTCTTTCTTCCATGTTCTGGGAAGTTGGTTACAGACCCATGAACCTCATGCAGGCAGCTCATCTTTGATTTCTCTACTCCTTGTTCAGTGTGGTGCACAGTTATACCTAGTGTCATGTTTGTTCTCTTTAAATTAAATGAATTGATTAATAAGAATTTGAACACACCTGTAATACTAATAAGGTCAAACACTTAACTTGAAATGCAACTATAATGTAAAGATTGATAATTTCTTTGAGGACCAACAAATCTATCTGTAAAACTTTAGCACACCTGGTAAACAACTTAAAAAAGAACAAAATTCTTGCAAACTAAATCATACAGATCTATATTTTTAACACTTTATAAGATAAATCAAACTTTGTTTTAATTAGTTGTTAGGATACCAGCAAATTGACCCATTCCTGTATTTACCCTGATAGCCAAAACAATTCAACGATAAAATAAACTGCATGTTGTTGCTGTCTGAATTTCCTCATTTCAGCATCAAGAGTCTACATTATAAACAGAAACCATGTAATTGAGTTACTGTCAGCTCACACAACAGCTTCAAGTTTCTGCTACTTTCAACTCAAAGCAGCTGTTTGTGCGGCAGCCCGTTTTTACTGGCTGCTATTTCAAAGAACATATCAGTGCTTATCGCAGCTTAAAGGGAAAGAGAAGTCGTACCAATGAAGTCCTGCAGATTTTAGCAAGAAACAACTGCCTCCACATGAGGCTATTTTAACATTAGGTGATATTTGGTTTAAAAGCCTTTTTTTTTCAYCAACAAATTGTCACAAAAGGTTGTTAGTGCTGCACACACAACATGAAYAGTGACAAATCTTGTTAATATAACTTCTACCCAAAGGAAGATACCTTCCCCACCTAAAAGATGCCCTAATTTAGACTAACACCTCACCCTTAGGCATTAAAACTCATTTCAGGAGCAGGAGGATCATTGAAAGCAAACAGTGTTAACAGAACTGCTGTTTTGTTTTGCTTTTTAACTGAGAAACACATTCTTGGATGAGTCAGAAAAACTGAATAGGGTTCAGATTTGATTTTTGTATTCAAGGTCTAAAGGTCACTGTCAAGGAAATTATTTAAAAAGAAACGTGAAAGGAATCCAGGAACTTTTCAGACAGTTCAGTGTCCACTCATCAGCAGGTCTTTGCTACCAGTGGTGATGTGTCTTCTTTCTGCTATAAGAGAACAGCAGGTTGTCTCTGTCCAATCAGCACAGGAAAGAGGAAGTAGCCCCCTGTCCCTGGAAAAGGAGTTTACTGCTAAGGGTCCCATATTATATTGAATGCCAAGAAAGCAGCTTTCATGGACCAGACTTCCAGAAGAGCTGGAGCAAACCCCTGCTGAGAGATGGCAGGGAGTGAATGAGGCCGTGACAAAGAGCTCTGTGCTGCACATTCGCTTTGTGCCTTTTGCAGGATCTTCCCCTCTCTTCCATGCACTCATTGTGCCAGAACATTTTTGTGGCACAAAACTGATGGGCAGCTGTCCAAGAGATGGGCCCATAGCCACCTTCTGCCTCTCTTTGTCAACATCCAATCAGAGGTCAACCACCATGTGGGTTTGTTAATGTATACTACCCCGGGGCCGCTCATAGAAATGCCAATCTGCAGCCGAGAGGTTAGCAGAGGATAAAATGAAGCTTAGTCTCCTGAAACCTGTAGGTCTGACAGAGTGACTGGAGGGTGAACGGCCCTTTGCAGATATCTGCATTCATAAAGGCTCAAGTTGAGGATGTGTGCATGTTAAAAAATCATCTGAACCTAGTTTTATTTTTATAAAGCTTGCTTCCGTTGTAACCTGCGAAAGGAGCACATTTTCTCAGTAGTGTGCCACTACAGAAATTACACTAACCCGAGGAGTGGGAAGAGAATTTGAAAGTCAATTAGGAGTACTTCAGTGCGACTTGCACCTAGCATTAACATGCACCTCATATCAGGGACTAATTATATTCACACCTGACATTAAGATTCATCTTTAGCATACAAATCAAATTCACATTTTTTAATTGTCCAAGCTGATATTCAGGTGTCAGCCAGTGTCACCTGCTTTAGTAAAACTCAAGCCTTTAAAGCAGACAGCAAACATTTCTTGCACCCATTTGTAAGAATATTTTTTAAAACCCTGTCAACCCTGAAGCTTTTACAATAAATTGAAGCTGATGTCTACCAAAGATAATTGACATTAGCCAACACAGCATTCTTACAACTGAGTCAGTTTCACAGGTAATCAGCTGAAATTTGGTGTTGTATTGGTTAAGAGCGATCCCCAGTAGATGACATTAACTATTGGAGCCAAATCTGTCTGTCGCATTAAATAAATATCTCATGAACCACTGGTCATATTTTAACGAAACTCTCAGAAGTCAATTATTGAATGTACATCTATAACCCAATTCAAGATGACCATTACAGCCAAATATTAACTCAGTCAATTTTACAGATATTGAGCTAAAACTTGGTGTGGTGGTAGCTYAMAGTCTTTCTCATTAAATACTCTGATTGCTAACATGTTTTATAAAATCATGCCAGGTTGGGGGCTAATACAGATTCATTCAAGATCAAGGTCAAATGCATATGTTTCCAAACTCCTTGTTAGCCCCAAGGATACTGTACATAAACTGCATTGGAACAGCAGCAGGATTGTGTACAAAACATGATTCATTTGGACCATTTGTAGAAAATGGCAAAATGACAGAAGTAAGCCAAATGAGGCATTGCAATAATCTAGATAATATGCTATGGATGCGTGAATAATTTGCTCAAATTCCTTTGAAGAAGACAGGGCCTAGCCTTTCGCAGGAGTCAACAAAAGAACATGTTTGTTGTGTCTTCAAAAGAGCGGAGTAAAATCACTTCAACATTTATGGAGAAATGGGTGACAATTAGAGGTGAAAGAAAACGCCATCAACCCCATCAACCAAAAATACTCTGTTTTGTTCTGATTGAGGTTTAAGAAATTTTGTTCTGTGTTCATGAACTACCATCCTTTACAGTTTTGTGGAGTTGTGATGCCATTTTTATTTATGTTTAGATGGAAGAATGCTAGTTAATTATGTCATGGAAACGGACACGTCTGTTAACGTTCTGGATCTGGCGTCTCTCCAAGCAGCATAAACAAAACATCAAAGAAGCGTCATTTTCCAACAACTGTAAGCTAAAGTGTTGAAGGCCTTGGTGAACTCTGCCAATATACTTGTTTTGTTTATGTGGCTCCACGGTTCATACTTTTTGTTTTTAATGAACCTCAGAGAGTCMGAGGCATTATTCAGTCTTTTTTTAATGATGTTTTCTGTTTTGCCATCATATTTCTGCCCTGGGAATGTCTTCATTAGCACTACAGCTCTTCCCCATGTGCTGCGTGTTTTTACTTAGACACTCTGACTTGAAAAAGGGGTGTTGAAGGTCAAACCTGTGTGAGTTTCAGATGTGGAATGAGAGCAGAGATTTGAGGTCCCCCCCCCCCCACTGGGCTGGTCACATTTATTTTACAGGGGAAGAATGTGACCTTGTGGTCAGAATTGCTCAGTAAGCACACCTCTGTTCTCCCTTTACTCTGTCTTACAAATTTAACCTGGAAAGAATTAAACAAAATGAGCAAAAGCACCTCCTGTGGTGCGGCTACAGGAAACTCATTGAGGATAACAAATACAAGACATTCGATCATTATCTTTTTGTTTTCGGTTTATTTTTAACGTTTTTCCTCAGCCCTTTCCGATGGGTTGTAAACAGTGCACTGACATGCTCCTCTTGCGTCGTGGAGGTGATCCGTGCCGGAAATAGAGCTGTAAATAAGTGAAGCGCCTGTGCTGATGCAAGAGGGGACCTCATGCTCGATGTTGGCAGACAGAATCGATGAACATCATTTTTTGACATGCCTGAGCAAGTCTTTGGTGTGTTTATGGATTTAGATGTGTACATGGACGTGTTTGCAGAGGTGTGTATCCTGTTTTGCCTGAACACACTCCACTACCTGAGAGCAATGCAGGATTCTCTTGAGATWTGAGTCTGTGAGGTGTTTGTTTGTCTCTGCGTGTGAATATGGAACAGTCCTCTTTGTGTTTACATGCATATATTAATGCGTGTGTGTGTTAGTGTCTTACTGCACACCYGTTAATCTATTATTATTTACCAGCCTGTCACACTGTAACACTTTGGCTTCAGTTGCAACTAATAGTGAAGCTGTTTGAACCCAATTAACGCTCCGGTTCTCCATTGAGCATTCCTCAATCGTTCAACACAACTTTGTTTCTAACCCAGTTTTCATGCTCTGCAGCACCACGAAGCCCCTCACTGTCGAGACCCCAGCACTAATTGAGCATCGCCTCCATTGCAGGAGTTGTCACCACCYTCTTACGCTGTGAAAAATAATCTGCTGCTCCTCCCCTCTCACCTCATTTAGGCAGGAGCTCAGATCTCGGGTGCGTTTCCTTGCTTTGCGAAACCGGCGGTGTCCTCGTCTGTATTTGTGCATCCGTGTGGCAAAGCCGGCTTCTTGGGGGTGTTTGTGTGCACTGGTTTTATAGCAGAGCTCAGCGGGGGTCTCATAAGGAGGCCACAGCTGTGTGTGATGTGCCCTGCCAGCAGACAAGTGTTGGAATAGGCTCATGGGGCTGAGTTCACAGGGAGCCAGCACTGATGTCAGCCACACTTGAAAGTTGGTATTAATGGCACATTTTTGGTTTGCTTTGTGAATGGTGGGTGGTCATAAAAGACCTCTGGCAAAATGCACAGTCTGTTACTAGTATAAACAAAATAAAGGCCTAGCATTCTTTGAAAAAATAAAAATAAAAAAAGACATATCGGCTACAACCATTCATGCCAGAGTTTTCGATTAAAGTCTTTAGAGGAATGGAGTGTGGCTGCAGGTGATAATTATGGAAAATCTTTGTTTTCATTACATTTTAGGACAATAATTTATTCTTTGACAATGCTGATTGAAACAAATAGGATTCATTTTAAGTTACTCATTATAAAATGTGACTTATTTTTTTAAGCTCAAAAGTTTCCACTGTACCTGCTGCAGAACTGAAACAAACATTCGCATTTGAACGCATCAGTACGGGTGAGCAGGGATGGAAATATTGGAAATATTCATTATTACCAGAAATAAAAAAACATCTGCCTTTTTACTGAAAGCATTCGGAGAAAAACAAGCACAAAAATTGATGGCTCATTAAGCACACGCAGATATGTAGCAACATCAGCATTACATTTGGAGACATCTTCATAGCCACATGTTCCACTTTTAGTTACTGTGGCAACTCAACGCTCATTTTTGGTTGCTAGTCAATCAGTGACTGTATTCTGTGCATACGCCTGGCTTACAGAATCCTGGATAGTAAAATCAGAAAGTTTGAGCAGCTCTAATTTTATAAAATCTTTTCATTTATGCATTTCCATCTTCTTCCGCTTATCCGTAGTCGAGTCGCGGAGACAACAGACCCAGGAGAGAACTCAGATGTCCCTCTCCCCAGCAACACTTTCCAGCTCATCTTGGGGGACCCCGAGGCGTTCCCACGTCAGAGAGGATACATAATCCCTCCAGTGAGTCCTGAGTCTTCCCCGGGGCCTCGTACCAGTAGGACATGCCTGGAACACCTCTAAAGGGGGGCGTCCAGGAGGCATCCTAATCAGATGCCCGAACCACCTCAACTGACTCCTTTCGATGTGGAGGAGCGGCGGCTCTACTTCGAGCTCCCCCCAGGCTCACCCTAACTCTAAGGCTGAGCCCGGCCACCTTAAGGATGCTCCTTTCGGCCGCTTGTATCCATCCATTTATGCAGATTTAGTAAATATTTATGCACATAAAAAATTGTAAAGAAGCAATAATCTATGTGATTGATAATGTCTGACATACATGTGTGTATATATAAAACCATAAAGGTTTTTATGTCTAATAACACTTGGATAAAAACCATCAAAGGCATCATCTCTTTATGGTTTCTGTCTGTCACATGCTAAGTCTGTAGATCACGTCCCGTCGACAGCTTATCTATTTCCAAAGTGTAATTCCGGCTGACAAACTGTCATCGAGCAGGACTGATGACTACAACAATGACTCGGCAGTTTACAGCCTCCAAAAGAGCACAAACTGCCGAGTGCAGATCAGGACAGAGCCGGGCTGCTGACGTTATCTGATGAATGAACACCGAGGCAGAGATCATTTTGGGATTATCAGAGAGAAAAAGTTCCACCGGTGATGGAAAAAACTAGGTGGTGGTTTACCAAAAAGATGGCGCTGTAAAAAGTTAACTTGTGCCTGGAGATGAGCTAAATGTCCACGGGGCCTGATGGTCTCCAGTTTGCTGAGTGTGCACCCAGCAGGCCCAGAAATATGAGGCGCATGCAGAATGTTGCTGAGTGGAAGGTTTACAGCCTCTCCCTCCTGTGTTGCCCCTGAACAAATCTATTCATGTGATTCATGTTTCAGCACATGGTTACAAGGAGATGCTGACGACTTCTGGCTCTGCTTGCTTCTGGGGATTACTGCACTTGTGTGCTGAAGTGCATCTGAGATCAGGATGACCGACCGTGAAAACAAAAGGCGTTTTAATTATATTTAAAGACAGTGCCTTGGAGTTCAGAGACACGCAATTCTTTGAGGAGAACTTCAGCATTTCTCCGAGCAGCACCTTCAGTAACATTGGCCCGTTCTGGCAGTTCCTCCCACGCACATTCTGGTGGAATGATCTTGAGGGGGGAAACACCACAGGGAAGAAAACCACCGTTTCCAAGTGTTAACGACTACGTAGCTGTGTCTGAGAGTGCACTTACAGGGCCTCCAATCTCTGTAAATTATAGTTGAGAGATGTGTGTAATGTATGTTTATGTGTTTCTCGTTAGCTCCCCTGCACACAAAAAACATCCTGTCCTGTTCAACTAGTTTACCAGAGTTATTATAGTTAGATTTCCATTTTATGTTTTCAGTTTTATTGTCAAAACTTGCATAAAAGTCATTCTTATTTGCATGTCAAGAAAAGGAAAAGCACAGAGAGCTTGGTGAGCGGTGTGCATCGATCAGACATCCCTGGCCGRGTAAAACAAGGCTTTTCAAATCAGAACTGGCTTCAGAAGATATGGAAAAGACACGGGGAGTTCTATTCTCTTTCACTGGAGCTTTGAAGCTTGGGAGGAGAATTTGAAAAAAAAATTGTGATTTTTTTTTAGAGCATAGGATTTATGTATTTATGGAAAAATAATAATTTTATCCACCATTTTCATACCTAAGCCTACTGGGAGTGCAGAGGGCTAAATAAGCAGTGCTCAGTGATAAAACACTAACTAGTTTAGTTTAAATCTGATATTTTAAAGATAACTTTTTGCATATCTATTTTTATTCTTACGACTAAATTTTAAAGTTTTTAAGAACAATACGCCCTGTAAATAATACCGTATTTCCCAGACTATAAGTTGCCCTTTTTTTTCTTTGTTTAATTGTTTGGCTAGTCCTGCTACTTATAGTCATGTGCAACTTATATCCTGTATGTTTTTCTCTCTTCATGATGCATTTTTTTTAACCAGATTCATTAAAATTAGTTCATACTGACATTAACCAAGAAYTAAACATGACCATCCGTGAGACGGAGCTCTGTGCTTGTGACCAGCAGAAAGGAAGTTTAGAGTGAATGAGGAACTTGTGAGGAAGCAGACGTTAACTTTACTGCAGTGAAGAAAATGAAGAAAGCTGGAATAAGATCGATGATCTTACCTGAAACTTTCTTGTTGGACTCACTGGTTTATGTTAACTTAGGCTATTTGGCATCCCGGGAGCTGTATTCTGTGTGTCATTGTGTTATTCCAGATTAAATTTCTGTTCTTAGAATTTGCAAAATACATTTCTAAATAAACCTGACTTATAACCAGGTGTTTATAAATGAAATGTTATGTTATTTTTTCCACTTCATGACACACTTTTTTGACTGATGCGACTTGTATTTTTGCTTTTCTGGTTTGTTTGTTTTGTCCCTTGTAAGAACCCTGATGAGGCCGTTTGTTTAAAACAAAGAAACTTTAGTTGGATGTGTTTGATTTGATTTGATGTCTGCAACTCACTCCCTGCCCCRGGCTCTGTCTAATAGCTGATAAATGTAATTAGGTTTCCATCAGAGAGAGGCCTAATGATTGACTGGTGTGGGACGTCTTATGTGTTAGTGAGATAAAGCTCCCTCTCACATACTCACATACAGGATCAATAATCTCCCCTTGTGTTCTTTTATAAAGCTGAAGTGGTTTCTGTTGCACTTCTTTTATATTGTTTTTGTTTTATTTGTTTATTGTTGACTGACTTGTCTCCACCTTTTTAAGAGTTATGAAACTTCCTATAAAACCTCTTCAATCCAAGTTGCATTCGACACATTTTTTTTGTTTGTTTTTGTTTTTTCTTTCTTTGTTACCAGAGGTTGTTTGCGTTATACAAACTCAAGCTTCTTTCCTCTTTTGCTGTGCCAAAGGATGCTCCTTTTGCGGTGGAGATAAATTTTGTTACCGTTCTACCAGCACCTCCTCGCTGCCCTCAAAACCAGCTCATCTGATCTGCCAGGGATTTTTTTTTTCTCACCGTGTCTGTCTCTCTGTGTCCCCCTGCAGGCTTCGAGCTGCTGTACCAGCCAGAAGTGGTTCGGCTGTACCTTTCTCTGCTGACGGAGAGCCAGAACTACAACACCCTGGAGGCAGCTGCAGGGGCTCTGCAGAACCTCAGTGCTGGACAGTGGACTGTGAGTCCTGGGTTGGGGAGGACGCAAAACAATAACACAGTGTTCTTTCTGACGTTTTGCATAATGATTTACATTCTTGTGTTTTGTTTTATTTTATTTTATTTCATTTTGTTTAATTTTTTTTGTCTTGGTCAGTGGCCTTTCAGTGATTTGTATTTTACAGCAGTGAGTGTCAATTAGGATCAAAAGGCAACACAATAAAATTCAAGGTTAGGTGAAAAAGCATACAGCTGTAACTGCAGCAACCCAACACCATGTTAAATTGTGTCAATTAATTTTGTTCAAATAAGCACTGCTTTCTCAAATCTGATAAAGATAAATGGAAAATTACAAGTAGATATTAATGGAAACCAAAACAAAGTGTAATTTACAACAACTTAAATATTTACAAGTAATAATATTATTTATTGACAATTAAAAATAAAAACTGAAAAAATGCTCAATTAGGAGTGTTTTGATCCATTTGACTTGGTTAAGAATTATTCAGAGTGCTTCTGTTACCGTCTGTTTATCAGACTCTAAACACATTCTCTGTCTTTCAGTTTCAGGAACATCAAACTCCTCTGGCTTTGAAAATGACCTAAAACATTTAAACTTTTTTATTTATTCAGCTGAGTCTTAAATATAAAGTTTGAAATGCTTCTGGGTAAAGAGAGAATATCAGAGCTCCAGCTCTATTTTTTTCACCGCCTCAGCCCATTCTTGGTGATATTTCCCACAGCTCACTACTGCCACCTCCTGGCTCAACCTTGCCCACTTTCTACTTAATTACATCTCTAGGGGGTGMCCGTGCTGAGAGGAGAATCCTTGTTATGTCAAAGTTAATGTTTCATGTTGCAAAAAATGAGAAGTAAAATCCAGTGATGTTTAAATAAGGACAAATTATATCACACATCAGTTTAAAGCCTCACTGTGTGGCGAGCTGGGAGAAAAAGCAGCCGTCTTTTTTTAGTTGCTGCAGATGTGAACGCATCTCTGTGTCGCTGTAACTTSACCTCCTTTTGACCTCCAGTGGTCCAACTACATCCGAGCCACGGTGCGGAAGGAGAAGGGTCTGCCCATTCTGGTGGAGCTGCTGCGCTCCGACTCAGACAAAGTGGTCCGGGCTGTAGCCATTGCCCTGCGGAACCTGTCCATTGACCGCCGCAACAAGGATCTGATCGGTACCGAGCATTAGCAGTATCACACACTCATGTAGGACTTCAGACTGACTAGGATCTTGCAGATGTTCTTATTCTTTGTAGAATGAAACTAAAATAAATGTACCTTTTTATTGAACATTTAGCTACCTTTTTTTACAAGTCTTGTCCAAAAAATAGTTCATAAGCACATTGTAGAAGTCATTGGTGGCTTTATTTTTTTCTGTCCAGGCTGTTCATATAGAAATCCCTTCGCTGATGCAATATGTTTTTTAAAAAATAGGAAACTGAAGTGCAGCTAAAGCAAATGTGATGCCTGTGCAGTATGAGTTTATAAATTGTCACACAGTGTTTCTTCAGTGCTCAGAAAGGGCACTGAGCAGTATTAAATAATGATTTGGCCTAAATTGCCTCTAACTCTAAATTATGTTTAAAATACACTCTCCACAACTAATTATTTTATCTTATACGTCATCATAATTACCAAAAATGTTTGTTTATTGAAACTTGAACATGCCCTTTAGAAAGCCCATATAAGTTAATTGAATGGGTTAGAAATGCTATACGTATAAATATAAAATTACAGCTTAAACCATAGCAGTCACAAAAAGAAATAGTTTCTTTTTACATCAGTGCTGCCTGATTTAAGAGATTKATATTTAAAGACTGTAGAGAAAATGTTATGGTTCTTTGAATATGATGTCAGAATTAAGGGAAATATGCAATYAATTTGATGTCATTTCAAACTAATCTTATTATGTGCCCACCGTCACCTGCTAAACCTCAGATATTGTTTAATTTTATAGGAAGTTATGCCATGCGGGACTTGGTGAGTAACCTGCCCAGCGGTCAGCAGCGACCAGCCAAGAACCTGGAGGAGGACACYGTGGTCGCCATCCTCAACACCATCCACGAGATAGTCACGGACAGCTCTGAAAACGCTCGCTCCCTCGTCCAGGCCCAGGCCATCGAGAAGCTGGTCGCCATCAACAGAACAAGGTAATGAAACTAATAATGGACCCCGAGTGGGGTCCATTTGGCTTTGCCACATTTTCAAAACGGACCCTCCTTCGGAGTAGAGTTTTGTAGAAATTTTATGTTTATCTTGTAAACCATACTCTTATCAATATTAGTTTGAAGAAATAAAGTTGAACTCTGACAGCTAATGGTAGTGCTGAAGTTCACACACCATTACTTGACCATTAGTTTCTCACTGCAGGTATTTTTGTGGTTAAWTGCAAAGCAAATWGCAGCAGCTAGCTGTAACACATTTTGGGTCTAATCCAGCATTACCTTTTTTTTGCACTTGGACCACATCTAACAAGGTAATAACAGCTTGTCTGAGCAGACCCACGTCCAAAGTGGTTTTAGCCATTATTAAACCACTTCAACCTTTAAAATGCCAAAACAGTTCATGGAAATGTCATTATATTAATCTGATATTACTGAGTTTGTGTAAGTAAGGCTAATAGGCATATGAACAGGTGTGAAAGATTAGCTGACGATGTCTGAGAGGAAACAGATGTCAATCACACAGGACAAAAACAAGAAAGCATGATGAGTAAAAGCAAATATTTAAGTAAAAAGACAAGAAAAAACATGACTGACTTAAAACAAATA